TAACATTTTAATTTATATTAAAAATTGTAATTATGATGTTTATTCTTAATAATAATATTTTATTAGTAAATTTATTTTATAATGAAAATTTTTTTCGTAGTTTCTTGTTAATCAATGACAATTTGTTAAATTATATTATCGTTTATATTCAATTCTATCACAATTTTATCATTGACTACGCCGTTAAATTTATTATAAATTAATTTATTATTACTACTTATTTTATTATTTTAATAATTGACCAATATAATCGTCGGTTACATCACTGTGGAGTAAGTCTTTCTTGACCATAACATAAAAATGTTTTTTATTAATTATTATTTATAATTAATTAGATTTCCAGTCATTCACTACCATCCAGCTTTCAAATTTTTTTAAACGGGAATTTTTATTCTAAAATGGATGAATGTTACTACCACACAATGATATCGACTGTTAATTCAACATCGACTTTTATAAAATTCATGGATAATCACAGCATGTTGGAACATATATTGTAAATGCTGAAGAAGGCTAAAAGATTAACCGAAACATGTACAAGTAATGATATAATATATAATATGTATTAATTTAAAGAAATAAAAACTGCGCACCGTTTACAGCGCCAATTTCCAATTGCATGTTTATATGATTTTTTTAGAATTAAAAATGTTCTTTTTTTTTAATATCTTTTTATTTATTTAATCTTCCTGATGTGTATTAATTAATATAATATAAAAATATCTGCCCTACTGTGTTTCCGGTGCAATAACAAAGGATACCCATACAGCACACGTTATCCGAGAGACATACATTCTTGGAAATATTATTATTCAGATGCGACAAAAGAATGTCCTCTTGACATCTTACTATCCGTCACTTGGAGATCTGTGTTATATGGATAGATTTATATGGATAGATTTTAATGATCTATATATTATATATTAAATTGTTTACATGATTACTTTACATTGTATGCACGTAGATATAGATTATTATTTATATTTTACGCGTAAATGCTAAACCTGATAGTCTGCAACATCCCTATACATACATAAACAATAGATTTTACATAAAAGCAAAAAAATCTTGATATAAATAATATAAATTATCACATACAAAAGCAAAATTGGTAAATTTTTACTGTTGATAATTACCGAACTGTTACTAATTAACGATAAATTTGCTGTTAACTTTACCGACTGTCGACAGTTATCTAAATTTATATTTAATTACAATATACCAACATAAGTAATTTTTGTATTAGTTTATCTATTTTCACAGTAAGGGGCAGCACTTTTATGCTTCTCATTTATTCAATCGTTGTTTCATTGAACGCATTCATTAAACGCATATTCAATGAAACAAACACGTGTCGTAGAGAAAGCAGAAAGAGAGAGAGAGAAAACATTTGAGAATAACATTGAAGAACATATAGATTAGTTTAAAAAACGAAGTGATATTTATTGTTCAGTAAGTGAAAAAACGGAGAGAAATAAATGACTATGGCTAACAAAAAAAAAATAAAGGCGTATATGAAAAAGAAGCGGACACCAGAAAGTAAAATAATTGAGACATTGCAGTCTAAATATAACACTGTAAGTAGGCACATTTCAATAGTACTATGTGATGTGACATAACAATTTAAAGGAACATGAAATTATAGATAGATGTTACAAAAACAACAAAGTTCAGTGATCTCCCCTTATCGAGGATTACCTTAAAGGGTTTAACAGAGAACAACTATATCGAAATGACAGATATCCAGAAGCAAAGCATCGGCTTGGCCTTGCAGGGCAACGATATCTTAGGAGCTGCAAAAACCGGCAGTGGCAAAACACTGGCTTTTCTTATTCCAGTACGAGTCTTCCATATATTTTTAACTGTTACAATATATTGAATTCATGTTTAATAAAATGTTCCAGATATTGGAAATTTTGTACTGCAAACAATGGACAAGACTGGATGGACTAGGCTCACTAATTATTACACCAACGAGAGAGCTAGCTTATCAGATATATGAGACATTGCGAAAAGTGGGTCAATACCATAGTATTTCAGCAGGCTTAATTATAGGGGGAAAAGACTTAAAGTTTGAAAGGAAACGTATGGACCAGTGCAATATAATTATATGTACACCAGGACGTCTGCTCCAGCATATGGACGAAAATCCATTATTCAATTGTGTGAATATGCAGGTAATTGTTTAATATTTTCTTTTATTCTTAAATAAATTATATGCTCTTGAAGAAATAAAAGTTAATGGAAATATAATTATTTACAGATATTAGTGTTAGACGAAGCAGATCGTTGTTTAGACATGGGTTTTGAGAAAACTATGAACTCCATTATTGAGAACTTACCCCCTAAAAGGCAAACTTTGCTCTTTTCAGCAACTCAAACAAAGTATATATTGAAAAATAATTTTATAGAATTAAAATTTTATGTCATAATGTTATTGATTGTATTTTATATTTTTATTAGATCTGTGAAAGATCTGGCGAGGTTAAGTTTGAAAGATCCATTGTATGTATCTGTGCATGAACATTCTGCACATACCACACCAGAAGGCCTGCAACAAAGTTACATCATATGTTCCTTGGAAGATAAGCTAGCGATGCTGTGGTCTTTTATAAGAAATCATACGAAGCAGAAGATTATTGTGTTCTTTTCTAGCTGTAAACAAGTAATTATTTTTATATTAATGACGAATTGTCATGAATTGACATTTGATAATCAAAAATTTTAGGTGAAGTATATATACGAAGCGTTTTGCCGATTACGGCCAGGCATTAGTTTATTAGCTCTTTATGGCACTCTTCATCAGCTGAGAAGAATGAATATTTACGAATCTTTTTGCAAGAAACAACACGCTATTTTATTCGCGACTGATATTGCTGCCCGCGGATTAGGTAATTAAATTCTGCTCTGCAAAATATTGTTTAAAATATTTGTAAATTTTTGTACGAAAGAATTTCTTGTCACATTGAAGTATACACTGTGTGTATTATTTCTTTTAGTTCTTACAATTTTAATAATCATAATAACTATAATTTTGTAGACTTTCCTGCTGTAAATTGGGTAGTCCAAATGGATTGTCCGGAAGACGTCAATGCCTACATACACAGAGCAGGCAGGACTGCCAGATTTAAAAGTGGTGGTGAATCTCTTCTAGTGTTGTTACCATCCGAAGAAATGATAATCGAGAGACTTAAGCAACGTAAAATCCCAATAAATATGATAAAGTAAGGTTTTTATGTAAATTTTGTTTTAACTTATTTGCACTCGTTACTCATCTATCTCTATGTTTAGGATTAATCCAAACAAACTGCAGTCACCGCATCGTAAGCTGGAAGCTTTATTAGCGCGAGACGTAACATTGAAAGAAACAGCTCAGAGAGCCTTTGTATCATATATCAAATCAGTTTTCTTAATGAAGGATAAAGAAATCTTCAATGTGCACGCTTTAAACACAGATGAATTTGCCAAGTGAGCATTTTTTAAATTATTCATCATCGGATATGAATCATTCTTGAATATTTCTTCATAGTAGAATTTTTTACAGATCGTTAGGTTTAGCCATACCTCCGAGAATTCGATTCTTACAAAGAATGCAGAAGAAAATGTCAAGTAATGATGTCAAAACTGAAAAAGAGATAGATCAAACTTCAATCAATTCGGCAGATAACAGCGATCAGGAAAATAGTGGAAATAACTCTGACAAAAGTGATATTTCTAATAAAAGTAGTGAAAAAAGAATAATTAAAGAGGAAAAAACTGCTGCTCTTCAGATTAGTAAGAAAATTGAAAATCACTTTTTAAGATATATTATAGATTCCTTATTTTTTATTTACAAAAAAAAATACGTTTAACTATGTGTAATCTATATTTTTTTAGATGATAGTGATGACGAAGACATATTAACTATAAAAAGAAAAAATATAGATATCGATGATATTCCTATGACAGAGAATGAAGATAAAAATACTTCAAACAAAAAGAAATTTATAACAAAAGTTGCACTCGCTAAGAAGATTCTCAAAAAGAAGATTATACCTAATAAAAAGACTATATTTGATGATGAGGGCCAAGTAAGAATTTTATACTATAAATTATTACATATTCTATTATACAACGTAAATTTATGGTTTATAATCTTATTATAATTTTGAGATTAGCAAAAGCTGAACTTATTTGTCTACATTAATTTTTTTTCTAATCGTTTATCTGCATATGAGAATATTTATGTCCCAGGAATTAGTTGATTCTGCCAAAATAAAAATGTCAGAATTAGCACGGCAGTACGAGAATGAAGTCGATTCTGGAATTAATATCGAAATGGCCAAGCAAGTTTTACGCGAAGAGGATCAGTTCGACAAACAAAGATATAGAGAAAAGAATAAAGAAAAACGCAGAGAGAAGAAGAGGAAACTGAAAATTAACAAGAAAACGGAAACAAACGATGAAGAGAGCGAAGATGCAGACGATGATTACGATACCGAAAGTGAAGCTAGTGATGGTCCAGATCTTTCATGGTTACCTGATCCGGATAAGATATATGGCAAACAAAATGGAGACGAAAAAATATCGTCTTCTAACGAGTCTGAAGAAGATCAAATATCTGAGGAAGAAAGCATAGCTCACAAGTATATAAAAATCACATAATTTATACTTATATATATAAACTATGTTGGAAAACTTAAAAATTTAACTCTTTCTGTTATAGCCCTTTCAAGAGAAAATTGATAACGCAAGAGGAATACAAGGGGATCAAGAAGAAACAAAAAGTATCTAATATTGCTTATTTACAAGCCGATGAAGAATTAGCATTACAATTATTACAGAATTAGTACAAAGTACTTTAGAGAAATGTAAATTTTTACATTTTATTTATGAACGTGGCGATATGTACACTTTACAATATAACGATTATCTTAACAGTAAAGTGTAATTTTTTTACATTTTGTGTCAGTTTTAATTCAACTAGATAAAATTGTACTAAGGCGGCATATGAATATTTGTCAGCTTAATAAATTATGATTATTTTTTCTTACGCACGAATATCAGTGAGTATTCTTTGAATGGTAAGGTGTAACAAGTATTTTACATTTCATACAAGTTACTCTCACAGTGATAATATTTGGTAAATTCATCTATAGGAACTGCTACTACTTACAATGTACAATAAATATTTTACAAAGTTCCAATTATTAAACAAATTATTAACTATATTACAGAGCATATTTGCGATAGGAAGCCAAAATGCATCCAATTATTTAAGAGCAATGATTTTATGGAAGAGAAATATTTCGCAGTTTCGAGCCAATAGATGAAATTTTGTTTTCGCATATTGTCGGAACATTCCATATTCAGTAATTATCCTAACTAGCTTATCATACATATCCTTTATTTTATCTCACTAGAAATCACACAAGATTCTTGGTATGTATATATATATATATATATACTTCGAGCTCGCCACTTTCCATAGACAGTTGCTACAAGAGATTTTTAGCTAGAATAATTTTCAGTCTTTTTAAGTGGTTGCGATTTTGATGTGTTTCAAAATATTATCAACGACGTCTCTGCTCGTTGCAGTGCCACCGAGATCGCGAGTATGTATTCCTTGATTAATAGTTTTGTTGATTGCATTCTGAATAACAGAAGCATGATGTTTGTGGCCTAAATGACGCAACATATCCACTGCGGCATTCAGCATCGCAATCGGATTAGCGATGTTCTTGCCAGCGATGCTGGTACCGGTGTTACGAGTGCCTGGCTCGAAGATCGTGTAATGGTCGCCGTAGTTCTTGCCAGCTAATAAACCGGCACCACCCAACAAACCGCATACCACATTCGATACTATGGCACCATACAGATTGGTCGTTAATACAACATCAAACTGATGTGGATTTGATACAAGTTGCATGCAACAATTATCAATAATCATATCGTTGTGAATGATCTCCGGATAATCCTTGGCTACCTGCCGCGAGATTTCTAAGAAAAGTCCATCTGACAGCTTCATGATGTTCGCCTTATGAACTGTTGTAACTTTCTTGCGGCCGTTCCTCTTGGCGTATTCAAACGCATAACGGGCGACACGTTCAGAGTTGAAATTCGTGATGACTTTCATACTTTCAATGACGCCGTAGACGCTCTCATGTTCCAACATGGAATACTCACCCTCGGTATTCTGCCTCACAATAACAATATCGATGTTCTTCTGACGTGAGTTTACACCCGGATAAGATACACAATGTAAAACATTCACATAAAGATCGAGCTCATTTCGCAGAGCAACATTTCTAGAAAGGACACCAGCTACTGTACTGCGCGTTTCTATGTTTCCCTTTAAAGCTACTCCATTTCTGCGTATTGATGTAATTGCAAAATCTAAATCGGCATTGTCATCCGCGTTGGGATCGATCTCGACATCTTCAAAGTCCACTGGTACGCCAGCATATTTAAAAACCTGAAACAAAGAAATTGTAAATATTATCTCTAATATATCAGGTTTAGATAAGAGATTGATGAGAAGAGATTGCTCCTTCTATTTAATGTATTCTTGCATTGTTAAGGCCCAATTCTACCACTATATTTAATAGTAAGATTAACTGTAGGACCTCTTTCACCAACTTTGATTACTATTAATCGATGGTTAACTCAATCATGCGTAAACAGTTTGTCTTAAAAGAGAGAGACATTTTGATACATTCAATTGCTGTTGATACTTCTGTAAGTTGATTGTTGATTAATTTAATAAAAAGTTAATGAAAGAAGCCCTATATCTCAGTTTAACTTACTATTTATCTTTTTTTAATTTTTAAGGCCAATGCACAGACCTTTGCATAATGCACAATGCACAAAGCATAAGAAAATCAACCAATCAGAGTCTTTTATTTCAAAGAAAGGAAGGAGATAAAAAACTTTAATTGGTTCATTTTTTATGCATTATGTATTATGCATTTTTTATGTATTATGTATTATGCAAGACTGCGCTCCCCCACCTTTAGAATTAGAAAAAGATAAAAAATAAATTAAACGAGATCAAAGTTAATCTTATATTAGTAAAACCAAACCTTAGAGCCATCAATTCAAGAACGATGATCTACGCACTTCCTTTACATAACCCATCAACTCCGGTCCAATGCCAGCTCCAGGTAGCATGGTAACAGTGTGTCTGCCACCGTAATGGGCCTTTGGTATGGGCATCACTTTCTTGATCGTGGGAGTTTTATGCTGAATATCAAAGCCTGACAGAGATGCGCACCGATGACTTTGAAATATCACGGGCTTGGGTTTTAGATACCTTAAAACCGAGCGGGCAGCCATCTCGCTGTGTTGTTTCGCTGTAAACATAATGAAAATCAATCATTTAATCTCTAAAGTTAGCTCAATGCGTATTATTATTTAATACATACCGTTACCTTGACAAATGCTATTTTAACGACTTTGATGCACCCAAAACTCCGAGAGACCCTGCCACTACCACGCCACACCACGCCAGACTCACCAAGTTCATCAAACAAAACGCGACAGTTAGCACGTGATATTTTAATACGGTTCACTTTGGCACTACAAATGTTCCGAAGCGTTTTCTGATCGGTCAGTCAGAATTTTCCTATTTTTTATGTATTTTTATTTAGTCATGTGGACTGCAAATTTTTCAAGCGTATTGATTAACTATAGTACAAGATAGAGAATTTCTAGAAAAATTTGAAAACTCTTCTCTACTTTGAGCCACTCAATTAGCTCAGAGCAAGAGAAGAAAAAAAACAAACCTTCAAGTTAACTTGAAACTTCGTACAGATACGGACACTTTGCACCAAGAGACATGTTTTGATTCTCATTGAATAATGGGAAAAAAAAAAATATATATATATATATATATATATATATTGTTCATATTGCAAATTGGCTAATTTAATATTAAATAGTAAATAAAAAAGTAATAAAAATAATTTTTAAAAAATAATTATTTTATTGCGAAAAATATTACCTTGACTGAGAATTTGAGCACAGATTCTTGCATAATGCATAGTACATAAGACATAAGAAATCCAACCAATCAGAGTTCTTTATTTTATGGAAAGGAAAGAAATAAAGGACTTTGACTGGTACATTTTCTTATGCATTAGCCGGTTCTGCATTAGTTGCAAACTCGTAAGTTTATTGCGACAGCCAATATGAAGTTGATTTCAAAATGCTTCAGATTGGTTGTCGCAACAAACTTGTAATCAACTTGCAAGTAATGTAGAACTGGCTTTACGTGTTATGCATTATGCGAGAGTCTATGCTCTTCGCTTTAAGCTGCATTTCTTGCACAATTTAGCTCTTCTTTTGCAGCTAAACAAAACAGACCATTGACTCGGAATCAGGTCGAGTCAGTAAATCGAATATGCTATAAGAATTTCAACCTATCATGTATTATAGAATACACAGTTTCTGATAGGTTGAAATTCTTATTCTCTGTTCTCTGTTCCTTTTATTGTGCAGAGCCTCATATTCGTCAATTTCTATCACGTGACTTATTTTGACGCCGAAAATGAGCATCGAGAGTTTGCAGAAAAAGGCACCTTAATAGTATCTCGTCGGTGATCCAATAAAAAAATTCCATGTATCAATGGCTACGTTCAGCGGACTCAACAGTTGAGTGAGCGCTCGCTGTTATTGGTGTATTCTTTTAGCTCATCTAATCAGAAGTTTAAATCTAGAAGAATACACCAATAACAGCGAGCGCTCAACTGTTGAGCCCGCTGAACTGTTGAGTCCTCTGAAAGCGCCCATTGAGAACCTTCTCCTTCTCTCTCTTTCTCATTTATCAACACAAAAGTTGCAAGAATTTTGCAAAAGTTTTGAATAATTTCAAACGATGCGAAATTTTGAAGCAAATCCTATAGGAACATTGCGAAAGGCAGCCGTTTTTTCCTACAAAGAAATTTTCATGCCAACAGTTTGGCCAGACTGACTTTTTCGCGGCAATGACTTCGGAGCCACTCGCAACGAAAGATTTAGAGAGAGAGAAGGCTACATCGAGGTGATTTAGAGTTCGCGATCCTTGTACATTGAAACAAACCCAGGTGAGTTCCTTATGTTTTCGAATACACTATCGAGCTCGCAAATGTCATCGACATTATACGGGACACAAGCAATGTCGCGATTCTTAAAAAGAGAAGAAGAGAAACACCGGCGAGCGCGTCGCCGCTAATGCCGCCATTTTAGACCAAGCCGCGGCGTATCTTGCGACATAATCATTTTCAAGCAATCACGTCGCGGCTCGTCGCCACATATAATTCCATGTCCACCCCGTTCGCCGTCATCCTAATTCGCATTGCGTTACAACACGTTACATGTTGGAGTCGATTTAGCATGCGACCGCGTCGTGCATCATACTGCATCATACCAGTCCTACGCCGCGCCGGTATAGAGTCTGCGTTCTAGCGCAATTTCTCGTCAGTTCTTTTATTTACAATACTGAAACGTGCGATCAGATGAAAGCTTATCATATTCTTACACAACAACAAAACGACTAACAGTTCCTCGCTCTGAAATGTACTTGTTTTATATTGTTTGTATCTTTATCCGATTTTAGGCTACTGATTTCTTTTATCTCCGATGGATATCTTTCTAAAGCCCAATTGCATCAATGTTACTTTGACTTTAAGCGAGACTTAAAACTCTATCTGTCTCATTTTAAATCCAAAAAGAGACAGACAGAAAGAGTTTTAAGCCTCACTTAAAATCAAAATAACGTTGGTGCAATCGAGCCTAAGAGTTATATTTCCTTCTCCACTGCAAGTGTTGAAAATCTGTATTTCATGTTACATATACTATATGCTGTGTTCAGCAGAGAAAGCAGCTTTGCAATTATTATAAACTTCTTCAGTATGATTGGTTTATACATTTAGATCCATAAGGAAGCAACAGCAAGAACCAATTGTATTGAAGAATTTTTTTATAATAGTTATAAAGTGTCTCTCTCTGCTGAAAACCCATAGATTTTCATTACTTGCAGTGAACAAGCACAAGCAAAAGTGTACTAGTTCAGCTATGAAAAACAGGCCTTATGTGGATGTTTTTCTTTTTTTAATTTTTATAAGTATTTACAAAAAGACTTATTTCATTTTTACATTTGCAGTATATACCATGAGCAAAGTAAAGGATTCTCCAACGGATAATGAGACGGAAGAGGAATTTAGTGTGGAGAAAGTCTTAGACAGAAGAATCGTGAAGGGAAAAGTATGTAAAATCTTATTACATGATATCTCATCATTTAATATAAGGTGTCATTTTAATTTTTAAAAAATTGTTTGGATTACAGGTGGAATATTACTTAAAATGGAAAGGATATTCCAACGACGAAAACACATGGGAGCCAGAGGAAAATTTAGATTGTCCAGATTTGATCGCTCAGTTTGAAGAACAACGGAAGAAGAAGGATGGAAGTGCATCTGGGAAACGTCATGAAGAAAAAGAACAAAAGAAACGAAAAAGCAACAACACACCGACGCCCACTCAGGCCAAGAAAAAGGCAGCAGTGGAAGAAAAGAAGCTGGAAGGTAAAGGGAAGCATCGAAAATTTTTGGTTCTTATTTATTTTTAGTTTTTTTTGTATCATTTTCCTTGTTTTTTAAAAAATGATATCAAAATACTTGAAGCAAACCAATATTTCAATGTATTATGAATATGCCTTTAACTTTATAGGATTTGATAGAAATCTGGAGCCCGAGCGTATTATCGGAGCGACAGATTCCAGCGGTGAACTGATGTTCTTAATGAAATGGAAAGGAACAGACGATGCAGATCTGGTACCTGCACGCATTGCTAACGAAAAGTGTCCACAAATTGTGATCAAATTTTATGAGGAACGACTCACATGGCATAGTCCAGCTCACGATGACGAAAACTCGACGAAACCTGACCCGGAGTAGCGCCCAGCGTTTTTTCATGATTTATTTTTATCATTGCAAAGTATTTCCCTGTAACAATTATCTTAGGTTATTTACGAGTTTTTTAACTTTTGTAGGTAAAAAATAAATATCAAAGATTTTTCGAATATTAATATAGAATGATATAATGTAGGAGGAATTGAAGAAAGTTCAAAGATTATTTTAAAGAAAACTACGTACATTGTCACCACTTAATAATATGTTTATCTTTGAGTTGTGGAAACGTGAATTTTCAAACAATTACATAATTTTCACCGACATATCTTAAAATGTATTACTTTTTCATAGATAATATCTTTCAATACATAACATATTTATTAAAAATATATTTTAAATAGCAGTTTTTTTTTTAATAGCATAGGTTCTTTCTAATTATTTCGTTCTTTTGTATTTATCATGTGTAGTCATATAAAATGTTAATCTATTGCACTTACATAAATTATCTAGCTATTTTAATTACTTAAAATATACGCGATCTACTGTTCAAATAAATAAATTAAAATTGATAATTATGTGTAACACATAAAATAATTTTAATTATTAGTAAAACAGGAATTTAAAAAATAATATAGGGAAAAAATTAGTTTTTTGCTTAAATACTGGGTTTCGCCATTCCAGCCATTTACAAGACTGCTAATTTGATTGCAATTCCTCAGAGTTTGTAAGAAATAATTTACAATAGTGGCAGATGAATTCTTATAATCATTCATTTCTTTTTTTTTATATGAAATTTATTATTTTTCTATATCGTTATTTAATTTTATCTATTAAACATTAAAAAATTTTGTCTGATTCAAATTAAAATATTACATTCTAATGGTTGATTACTTTGACTATAAAAAGAGAATTCATATTAATGAGTTCAATATAAACATTAAATATGTTTAACAATATTGAAATATTAATAGGCTTGCAAAATTAACAAAACATAAGACATGTCAATGAGAGTACAATGCAGATCGCAACGCGCAATAAATTTAACAAATTATAAAATTGAGACATACATTTTAAATTCTAAATACAAAATTTCGTACGTTTCTAAGTGCAATAATGGAAGAGAGGAGAGCTCATCGGAGTACCGAATATCTGTTGATATATGCACAAGTCTGAAAAATGTTGAATTCAGTACTAGTTTAACCGTTCAGTTCACTAATGGTTTAATCGTCTATTTGACAAAGGATGTGATTGGTTATTTGAATCTTATGTTCGCTGAGGATGACTCCAAAACGGATGAGTCACAATGTACGAAATTTTGTATTTAAAATCGTAAGTTTTATAATTTATTAGATTTATTACGCGTTATGATCTGCATTGTACTCTTTGGCCTGTCTCATGTTTTGTTAAATATGTTTATATTGAAAATAAATTGTTATGCACAATAATGACATATAAGCAAAATTATAATGATTATAGTATTATAGTGCCACAAACACCATTTTGCCTCAAAATTTCATAAAGAAGATAAGTAATTATATATATATA